TCATTTGTTTTATATCAGACCCATCTCTATTGTTTTTTGTTAAATCTATCTGTGTTACTCATATATTACCACAACAATCAGATGTCATTAAAAAGCCTCACTGCTGTTGGGCCAGCTCCTCAAATCAACTTTTAACAGTAGGATTGAACAAGCTTTTGCTCTGGAATGCCTCCCAAGCAATCATTTAGGATGTAGAGAGCATATGTTAGTCATTAAGGAGACTTGTTGACCTCAAGATGCCACTCTTTGGTGCAATTCTATAAAAGTAAGCTTTATTTAAAAAAAATCTTTAATTAGAATCACAATTTCTCTTTTTTTCTATATTGTGAATTTACTATAAAAATGTCCCATCTTTTCGTTTATCTGTGAAATATTAAGTCATGCATGACTATTGAAACACCTGTTTACACAAGTTTACATTAAATTGCTTAGGTCCTTTAGAGTTTGCAGCAAGACACTGCCTAAGTCTTCGTCAAATAATTTACGCTGACGCTGTTACCCCAACAAAAGATTACATCAGTGCAAATGACTAAAAGAAGTTCAACAAGCTGAAAAAAAAAAGATCTTGTTTTAGAAAGATCCCTAGAACTTTTGGAGATGAATGTACAAAGAACACATTTTAATATGATAAAGAAAATAATGGACAACTCTGAGAATCCTCTGTTATCAGACTGTTAGATAAGATCAGGGTGTCTTAAGTGAGAGTCTTCTCTAGAACTGCTGTATGACAGACTGCTATGAAAGATCCTAGCTATATAGAGCTAATAAAATCTACAACATCTAGTTGAAGGAACCCCTTTAAAAGTACTTATGAATTGAATAAGGTTTAGGTTTACATTCATAGAAATCAGTGGTGCAACTTACTTCACCACGGAGGATTTTGTTATAAACAATATCAACAATCCTTTTTAATTCAGTTGAATAGTATATATATCAAAAGTTGGATTAATTTCATTTTTTTTTCTAGCTAATGCAATAAAACACAAATGTATTTCAGGGTTTTCTATACATTTTCTGTATTCAGTTCCAAATAAAAGCAAAGACCTAAGGTTTATGTAGATAAATATATTGGGAGGAAGTTAGAGTCATTTTTCTGAATCAGAGTTTATTGCCAAGTAAGTTTTCGCTTGCAAGGAATTTTAACTTGTATTTATATATATATATATACAGAATACAGAATCTTTAGTTATATGCAATATAAAACATTCAATGTACTATATGGAATGTACTATATACACATTAGGCTTTGTGTAATCTTACGCAGGAGATGCTACGTTGGTGTAGCTTCTATGTCCTGAATGGGGGAGGGAGAGAGGCAGTGTCAGTGTCACGGTGGTCTCTGGGTTGTTTTTGAAAAGGCTTGTAGCCAATGGGAAGAAACTGTTCTTGTGGTTTTGGTCCTGGTGGACCGCAGCCTCCTGTCGAAAAAATAGCTTTTTTCCTAATACCGGTACACTATTTTAAATGTGTATACCAAACTAAAATCTAGCTTAAGTCCGAGATATATTTCAGAAGAACATGGTCTATGTTAAAGACATTTTATAAAGAACAACTTGCTTCAGTGTTCAGTTTCTAAGTAAACCACTTCTCTCCAAAGTGCTGTATAAATTCTTGCGCAGATAAAACTAGTACAATAAGAATCCAACTCAAAGAGATTCCATGCAAAAAAGCTTGTTGGAGTGACTAGTAGGACTTTTATAAGGCTTTCAAAATTCCTGAGCGAAAGAGAAAACAGCAAATTGCTACAGATTAGATCATACTGAAGGGCTTGTTTTTGTGGTTGATCTCATTAGAGATGTTCTCACATCTTCCACCCTTGTTATAAAACCTATAATAAACATAATCACAGAGCTAATAAATTCAGTATATAGAGAACTGCAACAACCATCCGATATGGTATATGTGATCATCTTTACAAGTGTTCCTTTTAGTTTCTGTTCAGGATTATAGCACTGAAAAGTTTGACTCATTTAATTCACAAAAAATATTTCTAAAATTTTCAAAGACAAAAAGAAATTGCAAGGCGGATAAAAGTTGAGGAGGAGTGACGATATTTGCTTTAATATATCAAACTCAGACAACTGGAATTATCACCATATCTTCCCACAACAAAGAAAGAATAGAGATCTCATTAATTTGTTCTTTAGTTTTTAAAGTTAAGACTAAAATAGTTTTTTTCCCCAACTTGTAAAAGAAAGGAAGAATCCTATATTAGAGCATCAGTTTGGAAAATTCACTAGGCAAGACCTTATGTAAGAATTCAGAAATGCAGACTCTTCCCTCTTTGTTTTATTTATTTATTTTGAGAGGCATTTGGATATGAATGTCACATTAACTATCTCACATTTCTCTTCACATTATCACCTCTTGATTTACTCATTGTTTATGGTAATGTGGCCCTCAAACCGTAGATCTGAGTGTAACATCTGTCACGGCAGTTACTTCAAGCTAATGTGACTCAAGTTGTGGTTCTGAAGTTAAAATGTTGATATACAATCTAACTGCAGCCACAGTAAAGATGTCTCCTGCTTTTGGTCACATACACTGAAAAAATGTTACAGCTCAAGCTAATTAGGTAAACATGTGGAGGAATCATTTGGACTGAGCCATAGTTGATTTAAAGTAATCTGCAGACATCAATTTGGTACACATTTGGTACTGACAGGGTGCACATAAAAGTAGTAAACAATGTGAAATAAAGTATTTTCTTCTTAAAATAACTAACACATTACAGCTGTGGTTACCTTTATGGTCTGCCTGTTGACTTCCTGCTTGTGCTGTTTTGCTCTGCTTTTACTGTTGCTGGAACATATTGTACCTCATCTAACAGCTACTGATTTTTTTCATTAAATTCAAAATGCACTTTTTTTTTTTATAATCCTGGTGTAAGATGTGTTTCCAGCAGAGAGCTGTGAAGGTGAGCGAGAATAAATTGGTCACCTCCAACCGTTTTCTTCCATGGCCTACTATTTTTGTGTAGAATAACTTTTTTACTTAAAGTGCATATTTTATCTGTAGCCAGTAAGTTGAAACACATGTATTTGGCATATTTATGTGTTAAAAGAATAACTTTTAAAATAAAATGGCCAATGGCCAGAGGCTTGTGTACAGCTGGGACTGGGGGGGTTTGTGTCTGTTTTCGTTTTGCAAGTGTGTAGGCATGTGGATATTTATGTCCAATGTGCTTACTGCCAGACAAAACCAGTCCAGATTTAATGTAGTTTATTTATTATAGTAATCCTATTTACAGGATAGAGGATAGAAAAAAAAAGGTTTAATTGTTACCAAAAACGGATATTAGTGATTTAAAAACAGTGAAAAGAATATGTTCATTGGGCTCTAAAATATGATCTACAGTATGAGCACTAAAAATGTTTAACACAACCAAACACGTTATTCTTTTCACCCATAACACCTTTCTTTGCTGCACAATTTCTGGTTTATTTAAAACTCTAGGGATACCACAGCATACCACATATATCCTACCATGGTCACTGTAATTTCAGGGAGAACTTGAAAATGTCATTCACCTAGAACTTTATTAGGGGCTTGAAGTTCCTAATGATGAAACTGGATGTGGTCAACATCACCACCCCCATCCCCGCTTTCCCTTTGATTAAAAAGCAGGGAGGATGATGATGAGCTCATACTGTGAGGAAGTGATTTTGCCATCTGAATGTGTCGGAAGGAGCAACATCTGGCTAAGCCCAGGAAGCAAAGCAGGATGCTTGCAGGCCAGGTTTTAGCATTAGCAATGGAACTGAGCCAACCATAACTTGGATTGGAAACTGTAACTGGGTTTGGTACCTGACCACCCTTTTACCAATATAACATCGGAACCTCATTTTTCCCTGTGTCATTTCAAATGCCAAGGACCCACCCTTTAGATTTTGCATCTGGGTGAGCAGCTGCCAGCTGCATGTGCTGTTTGGAGTCTATTGAAACGATGAAATGATAGACCATTGTCATAACTTTGCCTCCTTTTTCCCCCTTTTCATTTATTGTCCTGTCCAAATTAACAGCAGGAATGTGCTCTGTAAAAAAAGAGACTTGCAGAGGCTTGTGTACAGCTGGGACAGGGTGTGTGTGTGTGTGTGTCTGCTTTCATTTTGCAAGTGTGTGGGCATGTGGATATTTCTGTCCAATCTTCTTATTGCCAGGTTATTTCTCTATGTCTGTAGCTCAACAGAGTGTATTCAGTGTGTAAATATGTGATTTGTTCCTCACAAATCACATGCAAACATGTCATGAATGGCTTATATTCCTCATCTGGGCTTTGATTATAACCTTAAGTACCTTGTTGGAACGCAGGTGTGTTTTGTGGATTGGCTCCTCTGATCTGTCCGGCAGGGTTTGTCTTTGTCTGGTTCTGTCTGTCAGTGCAGATCACTGTGATCCAGATGTTTTGGTGTGGGTGGATCCCAGCATACCACAATTACTCCCAAAGTTCAGGTAGGCCTGTATGCCTCCTTCTTTTAGGTCACATGAACTCAGCTTCAAAGTTGTGAAACTGACCTGAAATCGAGTGCTCACTAGGATACAACATGCCCCTTTCCGCCATGGTCTTGTTGTTCCGTTCCTATTAAAGTTTCAGGACATTCCATTTGTCCTGGCCACAGCTGTCCATGGGTAATGAAAAAAACAACAACACACAAATACATAGATTGATAAAGGGGGTGTATTAATTATTTCCCCTTTCTGCTGCCTAATGCAAAGAATAGTCTTGTCTCTTATAGTGCTGTTGCTGTCTCGTACAGTCTCCATGATTACTGGGGCTATATGCAGCAGATAGAAGATTAAGTCCTTTGAGCTAAAAGAGCTTAAAAACTGTTTTATCTCATCTATAAAATCAGACAAACTAGGACTGTATTGCATCTCACTTAATTTAATTTCACAGTGATGCACATGCAGTGTTTTTTGAATGGATGTGTCCATTCTGTTACTTAGTTTAAATGTTGGAAATTTATCATTTTTTTCTGCTGTGATGATATTTTCTATAGGACTCAAGCAAGAAGAGGGTCCACATACTCCTCTCATCAGCAAACTGGGACCTCCCGTACTGTCAAGCGTTATCCCTCATCCTCTGAGCCCATAACCTCCAATGCCCTGCCCAGCGGCAATGGCTTTGCTAACAGCCATGGTAGTGAGAACAGACACCGGTATCCCCACAGAAACGGACAAAGCAATACACCGTCCCTCAATGCTCAGAGACCTTCCAGCGACGGCCATATGCAGGGACAGTTCAACAATGTCTTACATCCAACTGGTAAGTAGAAGAAAGCACACATTTCACAACAAATTCTGCCTATTTTGCCACAGTTTCAAATGCAATCAAATTAGAGATGTACACATCACAGTTTTTTCGACTGACTTAATGGTTATTCCACAAATTTCATTAGTTAATGGTGAGGTTGTGAAGTTTCAGTGTAACATATACGATATTTGATTGAAGTATTTCTTACTGTAATGGGTTATAGATTATTTTCTGAGACGTCGAAATACAGGGTCAGTGTTTATAATAAAAATCAGATTACAGAGTGGACATTGAAAAACAATTACTGCACTTTTTTTTTATTTGCATGATTGGTACTACTAGTATTACTAAAAATAAACTCAAATGGATGAATTATAGCATTTTTGCTTTAGTATGTTCAGCCTTCCTGTTATCTATTGAAAATCCTCCTCTCTCTTGCAGCCTGATGTTTTAAGGTATCATAGAAAATTCTGTTTACTTAGGAATAGCTTCTAACTTTCCTGTGCTTCACCTGGTTTCATCTTAAATAGCCAGCTAAATCCTAAAGTAGTTTTGAGTCTTCAACACTGTGACAGGGTCTGCAACGGAGAGTCAACCTGGTAGCTCTTGTTATGTTTACAGACTGGAAATAGAACAGGATTTCTAAAGTTTCCAACAGGCTACAGCACATCAAGCTAAAGATCAACAGATGCTGGTCTCCAGATGATTTCTATAATACAAACACACCCTGTTAAACTGGGACATAACCACATTAGCCTCTGTGGTCAGCAGCACTCAGGCAGATGTTTTATATCATTGTTGTATTCATTGTGGGTCATTAAACTAACTTCTCCATAATGATGTGCGCTGACCTCTGGTGCCTCTTCTTGCAGCTGAAACACTTTGACCTTAATAATTTCTACATTTTACTCTCAAATGTTGTATCCCATGGAAACAGCTGTGTGAAGTTCTGGCTTCTGTTCTTTTTCTTGCTGTGTGCTAGGGCAGCGGCTGTTGAATGCATTCCCACCATTACACTATGTTCACATGCACTTACTCTCTCTTTGTCTCCCTCACATACACATCCAAAACACCTTCTGCAAGAGATAAAGCACTTGGAGCACGGCCCAACACCTAACAGTTCTCTTCTCCAGCCCCTTTCCCTGGCCTGTGGCACATCGCTCATCCGGCTGCAACATGCCACGGGCTGACCGTCAGCACACACCCTTGCGTACTTATAAACCTCCTGTTGATCCAGATGAGGAGTGTGTCACTGAGAGGCTGAGCTGGAGGAAAGATGCAGCTCTTCTACAGCCCATTTCTTCTGCTGCTGCTTCTTCTGAAGCAGATGTGCTTGTGTTTTCCAGGAGCGAATCTCACTTCCAACTTGGATCGTATTAAGATTGTCTTCACACCTATGGTTTGCCGGAGAGTGTGCAGTGGCGGACGGTGCTATAACAGCTGTCAGAGGGGAGATGTCACCACTGTATACAGCGAGAACACGCCACAGCAGCAGCAGCCAAAGAACCAAGGCTACAGACTCTGTGAGTGTTGACTCCCGGCCCTCAAATCCTGCTTTTCTTCTTGTTCATTTTATTTTTTTTTCTTACTCTTTCTGCCTTCTTTCCACTGTTTACTTTCTAATTCACACACACTTTTTGTGTGTCTCGATTCTATTATCTCATTCTTCTTTTATGAGGTGTGCTGGACAAAATGGATTCCCAGTAGCATGCTGTCTTTTCTGCACACTAAGCTCAGTGAGCAACCAGAGTGGTGTAGATTAATCCTGAGCTCTATATTAAAACTCTTCAGAAAAAAAACAGCAACTGATAATGCCTGTGTTAAAGAGTAGAAAAGCCGTGTAAAACTGGGCTAATCTCTTGTCATAGACACACACGTGGAGCTGGTGGTCCCACGCTCCCGGCACTTAGCCCCATCTCTTTGTGGTTTGCACCTTGTGGTTGGTCCCGCTGTTAACCATTTAATGTGCTCTCTGGGAGAGCAAAAATGAATAAAAGAATTGACGGAGAGGCAGAAGGAGAGAGAGTAGCAGCATGAACAGGATTTTTATGGGGATTACATTAAACCTGCCATTTATCCAGAAGGCTTTGCTCCAAATTCACACAGAACGGTATCCATGGGAAGGGAGAGGGTGGTCAGTGCAAGGGTAAGAGTGTCACACAACTGGTTTTTCACATTAGGTTTAAGGATCTAGTTAAGAATATGTTATAGGGAGAGAAAAGTTAGGTGTGTTTGCCACACATGCAAACATCTACATCCTTCATATACCTCCAGTGACATGTTGTTTTTGTTTTGTTATATCTTCATACTGTATATTAAGTTACCCAGGGGAAAATTTAAGGGGCAGTTCATAAAAACTATATGTAAGTTGCATCCATAGCTGGTTTTCTTTTGTTTATAAAAAGATGGACTCAGTAGGATGTTGACTTAGACATGTGATTAGTAGGTACCCTATTCTTGCTGCAGGGAATAGTAAGACTATCTACAGTATGCAGACTTCAGAAGCTTAGTTGTTTTTGAATTGTTGGACAGGTAGGTAGATGAAAGGAGTTACCAGGGGTGTCAACCAGTTTTACATTTTTACAAGTTTTTGACTAATATATTTATGTATTTGTGGTATTTTGTCTTATTGACCATCTCACTGCTGTAAGTTATTGTGAAACTTTTTTTTTTTTTGCACATCTATAGTAAAGAGATACATTTAGTTGTTTTTTCTTGCAAAATTGATCTCAGTCATATTAAATTGAAAACATTTCTAGGTTTGTACTTTGAGTGGGCCATTCTGATAGATGAATGCCCATTCATCTCACTCATTCCTTTATACTTTTGGCCTCATGTTTGATTGTCTTCCTTAAAGCTAAAACTGCCAGCCCATTCTCAAGCATTCTGTAGCCTCCAATATGTTTTCTTCCATGGCTGCCAGATATTTAGGCTCATCCAGCTTATTCTCTGCATAGACCAGTTTATTTCAGCCTGCTAAGGAAAACTTTTCCACTATATGCCACCCTCATTTTCTGTGGTAGGAATGCTGTGGTTAAGGGGAACTATGAATTCTTCCATCAGATATTGTGTTTCGGTGAAGTTTTTGTTTCTGACAAGAGGACCTTTTTTCTCTCTTGTTTACTGTGTCCCCTAAATAGGTTGTGGGGACTTCCTTTGGGTTTTCTTTAAACAATAGATGTTTTCTTGAATGCCACTCTTCCAGAAAAATAAATTTGTGGAGTACACAACGAAGGGTTTTCCTGTGAACACTCTTCCACCTGAGGTCTATGCAGTAACTCCTACTTTATAGTAAAGAAATAGCAACTTTAAGTTCTAGTGAATGCTGCCCAGATAATCTTATCAGGACTTCAAGGACAAAGAAGATTCCTTGTCCAACAAAATGCAAACAGGTTATAAATATTTAAATAAAATAAATGACCAAGTCATAGGCTAAAGCCTTTTTGTTGGAGTTAAAGCAAATTAAATGCATTCAAATGTTATTTCCCGGTAAGTGCATTGTTTTTGAGCCCTGCATTCAATCTGATCTTGAGTGGTCCTCTGGATTTTAGAAGCTATGACAGAAAGCAGCCCCCCACTCTTTTTATTTCAGTCAGTCTATCATATCGTACTTTGACTGTAGAGACTAAGAGTGGCATTGCTATCAATAATATCAGTAGTAATCAGGATATTTATTAATGCATTCATCAGCAGTACAATCTAAATGGTTCTGCATCTTCTGCTTTATTTGACAAAAATGTTGAAACTGTATTCAAATTGCTATTTAAGTCAGATTCCTCTGTCAATCCTCTTTTTTTTTATTTTGAGCTTTTTTGTCACATTGTATCTTCCAATTTTCTTAATTATCTTTAAAACTCACCCTGGAGGTGCAGCCAGGCTTAGCCCAGACCTTGTTTAACCCCTGCGATTAATGTGCCGTGTCATACTTCTGTTGTTATTGTAAATATACAGGAAGGGCTTTATTTACTAACAAACTGAGCACAAACTAAGCGTAAAACACAAAAATAACAAAATGATACACCAGTAGGATGAGGCAAACTTGTAAAAAACTTTGTATACAAAAGGAGTGAGCTACTGGCACATGAATGAAAAAAAATGTCACATATACCTTTAAACCATGCTTTTACTTTATGATCTTAACTGCAAATCCAGCTGGCTTATTAGTTATAAACAGGCTGTTGCTATAGATTTAGATCCCTATTAAATGGATTATAGAACAAGTGGTTGATATTCCAAACACTTCTTGACAGAAGCCTCCCAAAAAGATTACATTCCCTGCACTTCATCCGCCTCCCAGTGCAGTATGCTTCTTCATGCCTCTGTCTATTCTCCAGAAATCTTGAGTGATTACATAAAAGCATGTGTTAATAGAACATAAGCTGGAATTCTGTAGTGCCCTGGGTGTGTGTGGATATCCAGGAATGTTGAGTAGACACCAAACAGCTATCTCATGCTGTTGTTATGTTTCCTGCATGGTGCAATAAACCCTGAATGAATAATTAGAACAGCCTCTCTGGATTCACACCCTGTTCCTTTAAAATATACTGCAGTCTGTTTATGAAGTGAAAAGTGTATTTCTTTACAGGCTGCTAAATGGTCAGACAGAGTCATCAGAACTATGTTGGTCTAAGAATAATTCATGCCAGGCTGGAACTGGTCTGACAGAGCAGCATGGACACATTGAGTTTTAATAGCCCCCTTTAGCTGATAATTTAGCTGGCATGTGGAATTGCAGGAGGCCTTCCTGTGTGTCTGACCTGCTGATTTTCTTTGGCTGAGTCCTGTGTTTCCTATTGGTATGTTTCTTTCTCTACCAATTCCACTGTTTTCTATTAAAATATTTCTTACTAATCTCTTATAATCGTCGTTTCCTGGATCTTTATTTTCCATTCTCCTCTCTTGCGTACTCCTGCAGTGTTCCTGCTTTTGATGTTGTTTACATGGAGCTCATTTCTCTACATGCCATCGAGACTATCCAGACTTTCTATAGTTCCTGTTTTGCACCTTGTTAGTGTCGGACTGTCTGCCTCGAAGAGACAGAGAGGATGCAGCTCACAGCGTGATGCTGCAGCAATGAGGCCCTTTCATCATCTAATAAGTTGATATTTGGGATATCTGTTATCCTTTAAAACAAACAATCATATGTGTGACTGTTTTATTGCAGACTGCTAAAAAATGTCCTTCTTAGATGTATTGATGTCCCAGAAAAATATTGGTTCACATTGCAGGGAATATATATATATTTTTTACTTTCAACTTCTTTGATGTTTTGTGGTAGAAGAGGTCATGTCAGAGCTAATCTGTGGATGGGAGCAGATCCAGGCATTCAGGGGGTTCACCTGGCACCCATCTCTTAAGCCAAAAGTTAAGACCTTTAAAAGGTTTAATAAAGCAGTGCATCTGGCTGCTCCAAATGCAACCAATGAATCAAACTGTAAACAGCTATTATTAGGAATACCAATTCAAGCGGTGTGGCAATAAGGAACAAAGCTGGCATTTTATAAATGTCACCTGGAATGAGTTGCCTGGAGGTGAACAGCAGGACCACTGGCTACTGTTTGCAAACAAACCTTACCAACAGGAAGCCTTAGGCCCTTCCTATTAGCTCTGACCCTTATGTTCCTTATTACCTGCTCCTTGTTTTTGACAACCAATGGACAATTAAAAATGGGAGTTTTATTTTTTTCCTGTCATTCACTTTTTGCTTCTTTTCACAGTTTTCTGTCAAATCCCCTGCATGAATGGAGGCAAATGCATTGGAAGGAACCTGTGTTCGTGTCCAACAAACTCAACAGGGAAGTTTTGTCACCTGTCGGTACCACCACCTCCCAGACCCACTCCTCACATCCACAAACATACGGGACACCAGGGAGTGAAATCGCCTTCCCATTCCACATACACTTTGCCATTATCCAATCAGCAAGGTAAATACATGGGAACATCAACAGGGGGAAATTATTTTTGAATTGATAAAAAAAAAACTAATGGGCAATCGAATGTCTCTTTTAAAGACTATAGCGGTTTACCTCTTAGCTGTGGTAGGCTGCTTCTTTTGTATCCTCTTTAGGGTTAAAACACACTAATAAGTCTTCCAGGCAAGACCCAAGTAATACCTCTATTTTCATAAAAAAGCTCATATTCTAAAGTACCGCAGCTTTATTGTAAACTCTGTTTTTATAAATTCTTTATCCAATATCACATGGGCATTATGCAGTATTTAAACAGAGACTAACATTATTTAATGGGAATTAGAGAGAGATAGCGGAGCTGAATCATATGCTTTAAAAGGAATGAACTATTTTGAGTCAAAGTAACTCTTTCAATGAAAATATGCTGTAAGATAAGTTTTATAATATTATTGCTGTTTCACATGGTAAAACAATTGGTCATATACCACCTTTTGTATATATCTCTCATGTAAATAATCAGTGCTTCCTTTGTTATTAAATGTCCAATGCAAACCCACTGATGATTTAAAGGTTTATAAAATTGAATTTTATGCCACTTTTAGCACAGTAAAGAGGACTGACTGTAACATCAGACACTGAGAACTGAGAGTTTTCTATTTAGTATAGAGAATTCATTTTCAAGGTAATCATAATTAACAGTAAAAGTGAAACACAACAGCTCAACACTAAACTATTTATCCAGTTTATAAAAACAAAGTCACAACATTTTATGAAGGTATTTTGCTAATTTGGTTTTAATCATTTTCGCACAATTAGTATGTTGTTAGCAACTCAAACTCTAACAACCTTGCTCTGTGACTGCTGAATTATAAATATGCATTTCCTCAGGGACACCCAACAAGTCGCTATCAGAGGTCGAATCCTCTAAAGAGTAAAAATTTTCCGTGACGTCACTGCAAACATGTTATATGACCAGCAGCCACACAGGAACATGGCTTGTAATTCATTTGCTTTCAGCCAAACATAAGTTTCAAGAATTTGTATGGTATCCACTACAGGGTCCAGTATGATATTGGATTAAATTAGTCCCACTACTACTATCAACATTATTCTAGATACAAATTCTTGTCCTCTTAGGTCTTACAGGGCTTGCTTTTGATTTTCAGTTTTCATCGGGTACAGCTCTGCTCCTGTGGGACAGATGTTGAGGCCAGACTATTTTAAGCGAATGAACTAATGAATGACTCAGTGGAAGTCCTCACATAGTTTGGATAAGGCTTCTTTTATCATAACAGCAGCGGTTATCAGAGCTGAGAGACAGCACGTTCTTTTATAAATATGAAAATGAAAGATTTGCTACTTTACTTCCCCCTTTGGATTAAGTAGTTTTTCCCCCATTTAATAATGTTATTATTGTTGATATCTTAAAGCAGATTAAGATTATTAGAGCCAGACATCCATGTTGTTTTGTCACTGCATATAAGTGTGTGGGTGTGTGTTCTTACCCAGAAGCAGAGAGCCTTGTTAGAAACTCTTGATAAAATCTGAATCTTTTACTTGGACGTTGCTCACTGTCTAAAATATTATGATTTATGGGAGTGGGTCAGGATTCTGGGAAAAAACCCTGGCACACCCTGAAGATAGATGCTTCCCCTTCTGTCAGAAAGACAAAAGGGCTCGTTCTAGACATTGCAACATCTTCTACAGTAAATCTGTTTTTGGTATTTCAACTGATTTGATTTAAACCAGAAAATCCTAAACTTCTTGTATTCTCCTTGTTGTGTAGTAGTTTACTGACAGGAGTTCTCAGTCTACTCTTGAGCTTATAATTTGCAGATGAAGCAAGTATTTGTTGAAGAACTTTGTGGTCGATGTTAGCTGATAGCTTAAAAATTGGAGAATGTAAATACAATTTGTATGCTTTAGATGTTGATGACTCGACTCATAATATTGCATATTTCAAAATGTAAACCATCTGCTGTTTTGTGTAAACTCTGGATGTCTCTGTCCCAAGTGTCTCTCCACCCATCCTTGGTAAACGTCCACATTCAGCATCCGCCAGAAGCTGAGGTCCACATTCACCAAGTAGCCCGAGTCCAGCATGGACAGAGACCAGCTATCACTGAGGGGGCTCACTCTGTCCAACAGCGCTCCCAGCCTGGAAATGGACATGAACACACAAAGGAACAGAACGGCAGACTAACGCTCAGCAATGGCCACTCGAACGGTCACAGTACGACTCCTATCCTGCAAAATGGAAACATTGGAAGATGCTTTCAGGAAACAGTGGATGGACAGGTATTGTAATAAGTAACAGTGGATATTAAGAAACAACATTTACGTATTGTTGTCATACCTTTCTCTCACTTTTTTTTCCTACTGTGGGCTCTTACGTGTGCTCCACATCAGTTTCAAATAATGTTCTTAACTTCAGATAGTTGCCTAAATGATCCTCCCAAGCCTGATGCATTCCATCTGCGCATAAGTAAGCGCACGTTCATTAGAATTGCAAATCTGCATGGCTACTGCCCCGATGATTCCATATAAGGCTACGACTTTCAGCGCTTGGCAGACGGCGCTAATTTATAAAAATGGCATTAAAGACAAAGTGAAAGAATCTTTAGCAGTTTGGGTATCAAGGTTCTACTGACCAATGAAATTGATTAAAGGGTTAAAGGATTAAATGAATTAAAAGACCAATAAAAGCCAAGAGCACAAATGCTCTAAATGCTGTGTCACAGAAACATATGTTGTAAATGCTTAATTGGAGTTTGCCATCAACCAATGTAACAAAACATTCTGTTAAATGTCCTTTTAATACACACAGACGTGTACTGTACATCACCAGATCCCGTCTGCTCGCCCTTCATTGCACTCTCCATCTCTCTCATACAAACATATAAACATAAAAATTGTTTATGGCCAAACTCTAATTTGAGGAATTCAGACAGACCCAAACCAAAACATTCCACATTTTGTGTAACAACAAAGCCAAGGCGCAATGTTATGAAGTGAACTGAATGGATGTCTAACTGTTCAAAGTTTAAAACGGAAACATACTCGTGAACCTTTCAGAATGTTATTTCAATATTAGATTAGTTTCACATAGAGCTCATTGATTACATTTTTTTTTTACATCAAATTAAAACAGTGCCGCCTGGATACTGACATGCCACCTGCAGGTGTAATGATATGGTTCTGTAATCAGAGAATAAAAATTTAATTTATAAATTCTGTGTTTCATAACGCTTGAGGGTAGGAAAAAAGATTCTGTGGTAAAAGACATGTCCAACCACTGTATACTTTTGAGTGGTGCACATGCATCAGTGCCCTCTTCTTTGCAAAAGTTCTCTGAGCTGGAAACGCCTCTTCTTTTCAACTTTTCCAGTTAGGTTTATCAGGATTGTTTTCAGCCATTGATGCTCAAGTTTACACAAAACAGTGAACAAATGGCCTCAAAGAGCCGCAGCAGCAAACAAGCATTGGAGTACTTTTTCGTGCTTCGACGTAATGGCACACCACTAGCCAAACAGCCTATGAGTTGCACTTGGAGCCTACGTAAATAACGAACTGGGGGTACGTACGCAAAATGTTTGATTGACAAACAAGTGTCCATTTTATACAGTTTAAGGATTAAAATTTTTTTGGGCGGGTTTCAAGGTTTGGTTGAGGTTTGAGGACCCTGATGCAGAGGCAGAGAGGCTGAGGAGATTTCTTGCAGTTTTAATGATGAAAAAACAGAAAACAAAGGCAGGAATCCAAAAATCCAATTAATAATGTAAATCAAACAGAAACTGGGGAAACCAAACACGAGGAGCCAGGGAGAGACAAGGGAGGTAAACAACAGCATGGGAAGACAGCAATGACAAGGAACCAACAAGGAGTGACAGCAGAGGGAGAGTATAAATAGCTGACTGAGACAAAGGCAGGGCTAACGAGCGGATAAGGAGCAGGTGTGAGAGGAGACAATGAGGGAGCCAAGGGGAAAGGAACACATGAGTAGGGCGACAGAGGACAACAACAGAAAAACCTGAGAACTAACATAAATCTAGAAACTACAACAAAATAGGAATTAAACCAATGAAACTAGAAAACAAGGAGCAAAGTAAAGTACAACAGAACCACGACCATGACACCGAGGGGTCCATAAGTGCAAGAATGCCAGCCATCAGTAATTTTAGATGAATCTGGACACCTAATTTCTGAGAAAAATCCTCATTCATACCTTTAATGATGTAGCCTAATATAATGGACAATTCCTTCTAAGTGAAAGAAAGGTAGTCTTCTAGTGAAAAAATAGTTTTGGTAACAGCTGACTGAGCACTATGTCAAGTCTGGAGCTCTTTGTAAAATGTAAAATTTCTTCATACCTGAGAGAAGATGCAATGTTTAAACTTTCATGACTTGGTATTTTGGATTACTCTAAAACTTTGATACTACAGTGTACAAAGGGGACAAGTGGTTTATCCTTACAGTTTTTCTGCCTTCTCTAAGATCTGCTGTCTGCAACAGGAACTCAGGACATGACAGTGATTTGAACTGCTGATTGCAATGAGAGCAATGCAAGCCAAAGTCACAGTGTGTGTGGTCCTGAACTTGGTCATTAAAGTTGATTCTGATTTTTTTCTTTTTTTATCATTTAGATCTTATGGGCACAGGCCAAGGGAGAAAATTACTGTAAAGGCTGCCATTGTCCAAGGAAAGGTTTTGAAAGATTCTGAAAAGCATGTAGATGAGTGTTTTAATCTAAATAAAGATAATGTTTTGCTCACTTGAAGCAAAACCCAAAGAGATCATTATTTGCTTTTAATCATCCGGACTAATACAAAAGTTAGAAAGTAAGCAATTAAATTAGGTTGCAAATAGTTTATTTGTCTAGAATTTGCTAAATGTGTTTCACAAATATGAAGAACTTGAATAAAGGTCCTGTTTGGCCTTTACTGTCAAATCAGAGGACTTCAAAAAAATACATTCATTCACTACAGTCATTCATATATTTACACACACTTTCACACCCTGGTAGTTACATTGTAGTTACATTGTAGCCATAGCTGCCCTGTGGTTCAGTGAAAGAAGGAAGGCTGCCATACACAGGTGCCACCCTCCGACCACCATCAGCAGGACATGCAAGTCCAACATGCCCAAAGACACAAAGATAGAGAGAGCTAGATCTGGGGTTACAACCAGCTACATTCAAGGATGCAGGATTTTGGATGCACTGTCACCCCTACTAAAGTTAAACCATTAAAACCAAATACTTTCTTTGCAAAATTGGCTGAATTCTACTAAATTATTACAATCATTTTGCTTACTGTAAATTGGAACTAAACCGATGCCAAAGCTAAACCCTGCTATTTGCAACTTAAATGCTATGAATACCAGAGCTCTGAAAAAGATTTAACTGCTTATACTGGACTTCTGTTTAATGAAATCTATATTATTCTGACTGATATTTAATTTCTTCTTCACCAACACAGTGACCAAAACAGTCAAATTAAGCTGTTTTCTGTGCATAGAAGAGATTTTGAAAGTTAGTTTGTGTCACTCAAGGCAAAAACGTCATTTTACTTTTGTACTTAGGTTCAAAGTAGAACGAGTAGTTGTTTTTAATCTTTTATTTAAATAAAGGAGCTTTATTTAAGTAAAGAATGTGAGTACTTTTGACACGCCTGGCTGAAACCTAAACATTAAACAAACTGTGCCGTTTTTGACATGAGGAAAACTCAATTGCAGTAGCCAACCCAAATATGTCAACACTGTGATGATAAAATTCTGCGGATTAAACAAGCTCAAATTAAAACCTCAAAGATTGTACAGTGATCTGAATACACAACCCTTAAGGCCCAGCTCAGACAGTCTATCTATAAATAACTATAGTACCTAACTGCTTTGCTTTCCTATGTCAAAAGATAATAACTATATTATTAGCCACTATTTGGTTTTGCTATAACTCATTAAGCATATTAACTTTTTAACTTATTTTACAAGGTGGCATGTAAGCCTTTTTCCTGCGGAGCATAGCGAAGATGTGTCACTAATTAGTAATTGTGCCCTCAGTCTTCAACATGTTAAGTTTTGAGAGAGTTTGACAAATGCGATTGATTCATATTAGCTATATTCCTTTAAAATACCCTTTAAAATTTAATTTTTATAATGTAAAAGCAAGATAAAGTATAGAAACTGCAAACGCTATGTACTGATACCCAGTTGGAAAAGAGATGTCTATTCATGAGGATGGATAATGTTAGAGCTAGTGGAGCATCTGATTACTTTAATGCTATTTGCAGCTATTTTTGCATGCTATCTTTAACATTGTGACCTCATGGTCACAGTGTTAAAAAAGAAGCAGAATCTGGGCACAAAAGAAGCATAAATATGCATTAGGATAAAGTTTTTCCCTTTTTTCTGCCAGTGAGAAATCATATTTCCAAATGGGAACCTGCTGTATTAGATCATAGGTATCAGCTAAAATTCTAAAAACCATCATGAAAAAGACCCAAATGAGGCATGCAAAGATGTTTATAGAAGATTTAGGTTTGCAAAACTGGACTCTGTCTTTGTTGAAATGTTTTCTTCAAGCATTCTAAAATAGCTTTGCATACAGCCTTGCCATTGTTAAAACATTTTAAAGATAAACAACTATGCAAACTCAAACTTGTAATCCTAAGAACTTGCCTCACAGATTTAAACATTGCTTTGTGTTGTTGCAGTGTGGCAAACCTCTGCCAGGGCTAACCAAACAGGATGACTGCTGTGGAAGTGTGGGTGCCTCCTGGGGTCTGAACAAGTGCCAGAAGTGTCCAACCAAACCAGGTAATCCTTAAGTTTAGATACAATCAGACAGAACACGTTTTTTTTTTCTTAACCTTGGTTATATAACATGTTTAAATCTGATGCATATCCAATTTATATATTTTTCATTTCACTTTATTTTTGATTTCTTTATATTATTGTTTTGCTAGTTGCTTCCTATAGGTCAGGATCCGGAAATCAGAAACAATAAGGTATGCTAAATACCCTCTCACCCCTGGCTCAAGAGAACAAGAATAATCTGGATTTATAACTGGATACAAACACTTTAAATAGAAGCAGGAGCAGGTGGGTCAGATGAGCAGTGATTCGAAACCGGGCAGAGTTAGACAGGTGAATGGAATGAATAATTAAGCCAGTCATCAGTTCCAAGATCATGAATGCTTTCAAATTGAGTGCATTAAATGTATTAGATGACTTTAGGTATTTTCAGAATAAGTAAAATTATAGCCAACAATTGTATGTTTTTGCTGTAAAGCTAGCATTCTTACAAAGATACTTCTGAACTGTAAATTTAACAAAAGCAGATATTGTTTATCTCATTCATTTTCCATTAATTGGTGTTCCTCATTTTTGCTGATGTACTTTAAATGGATAATAATATGTTATCTTGGGTTTTGGGCACTACCTTTCATCCACTTTAATTGGTTTCGGCCCCATTCAGAAATAGAGACCTCTCTTCAAGATTACAGACTTGGCATAGATTTGTTGTTTAAAGACTGTGCACTTGACTGTTACATGCCTGCATTGGACTTACCTTTTATGGACTTAAGAACTACAGGTCCAAGGGGCAGGGAAAAGTCAAGACCCAGAGTTGTGCCCCAAAGACTTTACTGTGTACCTAACTTAACATTTCTCATTAGAGAATAGGAACTTAATTCTAATTTATTGCTTAAAAACATGAATCTTGACTTGTTTTTGTAAATTTTTAACTTGGGACATAATTGAGACCTAGCCATTAAAGATTTAGGTCTCCACTTTGACATGGCCTACAAAGATTTAAGATGACTTAAATTTATACCTTGAAGACTTGAGACCCAAATCAGAGAGACACTTAAACCAGAGACTCAACTTGGATGTACATTTCCCCCTTGAACGCTAGAGACTAGACTTGAGCTTCCCAAACTTGCACCCAAAGATATGAGACTATACTGTACTTGAACTTAGCCTCAAAAGGCTTAGAGTTCATTTGACTTATCCTTCAAGAACATTATACCTTGACTTTGACTTTAGTTCCTTAGAATTTAGATATTTATTTGGATTTGTTCCTCTCTCTTGGCCAAAACAACTTGAGACTTAGTTTAAAATGTAATTTTAACCTCCCCTCTGAAGAATTGAGATTTGACTCAAACTTACTCCGCAGATAGCCTTGAAAAAACATAAACAACCATTGAAAGGTGAACAGTTGTGATAATCACTAGTACAGAGCAGTCTTCTTTAAACAGATACAGTATATACTTGAAGCTTGCATCCAGAGACTAAAATGAATCGGTTTTCAGTTCCATAAAACTAAACCCTGGATGCACATAAAAACACATTTAGCATACTGATGAGATCCTGGCAGGCGTGCCACTCATCTTGTGGGCAACAAAAAGACCCAGTGTGGCCTTTAAAGAGTGAGAAAATTAAGGGCTCTCCAAACCAAGCTGTGGTAGGTTTGAGAAAAAACAGCAGGGTGGCTACATGCCGGCAGGCTGGGTGGGTGGCAAAACTGTCCACATATTACACCAGGGCTGCCACTCGTCCTGACAGCTCTGAATGGAATTTGTATTCACCGTTTGTCCTTGCATTGCAGATTCATTTATCTCCTAGTTTTCTCAATAATATTATGACAATGCCCGCATATGCAGCTGGTGAGCCATGTTTGAGTGGACCTTAATCGAAAGCAGATACACACCCTTTTTGTCTCCTCCATCAATAATAGTTGTCTATCCGTTCCTTCTTGGCTCCCCCTCAGCCTGCCTCATTCCTGCTTTTTCTGTGTCTTCAGTGTGATCTCTTTTGGCTCCCAGATGTTTTCCTCTTCTCTTTCCTTTGATGTTTTGGGGGTGAAAAAAGAGTGAATAGCCTGATTGCTCCTTTTTGTGGCTGTTTTTGGAGAGGCAGCATGCTGTAGGATAGGGATCACACGCAGGAAAACACAATAAGAATAAAAAGAGTGTTAGAAAGGAAAATCTGCAGTCAAAATGATGTCATGCAGTCTTCGAAAGGCCTTAGAGAAAGATTCAACATGATAAATACTTTCAATTCTCTTTCATTGTTATTGTTCTCAGTTTAGACCTTGGATTTATCATTAAGCTCTAGTATATTCTTTCTGAATTACTCAGCTCTGACCTTTTAGCACAGAGAGGAGTCCTACAGCTTTACACAAGCTTTTTGTGTTTCTCACTGAGTATGTGATAATTATGCCATAAAGTCTTAGATTGGGTTTCACCCAGTGGCAATGCTGCCATTGGGCGTTTTGTTGTCAGTAAAATAATACTTGGCTATAGGTTAAGCTCACCATATCATCTTTTAATACCCAAAGAAGATGATAGCTTGAGCACAAATTTATGGAGTTCAGGGCTTTTATTCTTTCCTTCTTGTTTCAACATAAACTCAGTGTATTTATGCCAGCTTTATTTGACCCACTATTTAAAACTCTTCGCTTCTGTTGCAGTTCGGGTGTGTCTCTAAAGTCTTGTTGAATCTCTTCACTGCTTATGCATTTCACTGTTGATTTTATTATGCAGCTGGACATTATTACCCTTAAAGAACAAGGAATTTATGTTGTTGTGGCAATCACTGCGTGTTTGTGTATTTGGAGGAGAGCGGTCATTCCAGAGGCAAGAATGCCAGTCTGTCCCCTCTCACTGTGAGACGAAGCCTTCAGGAGCCAGGACTTTTAAAAGTCACATGCTGAGGATTCCTGCAGTAATGAGATCCAGATCAAGCAGAACAAGCTGTAGTTAAAGCCATCCTTCTGGCTGACATGAAGAGGTGGAGTGGGTCTGCACGTAGTTCCAAAGTCATTGTATAATTGCAATTTATGAAACTGGTGTAGAGATTATTGGACTTGGATGCTAATAAAACAATTCCAGCGGTACCATCAAATTGCTTTGGCCCAAATCTGACCGAGCCCAACTTCCTGTAAGTGTAATGGCAACCTCTCCCTTACTGTATGTTTTACAGTTTATGGAGTCTCACAAGCCATTTGTTTCTCCATCTGTCACTGATGGGCAGCATCCTCCCTGTGACTCTGTAAGTCAGCGATTCTGGGAGGCTTTACATCAGATGTCCCTGGGGCAAATATTAAATGCCACACCCAAAGGGACCTAGCTTTTCCTTGATCTGTTGCCACAAGTCAAAGAGTTCATATTCTACTCTTCTTTTGGTTCTTTTTGGCAGTGATGGCAAATGACATATCAAGTGATGTGAATGGCGCGAATTGGGTGATGAGAGCAAAGTGGAATAGCGACAGGTATGTTTGACACAAGGATAGATCTGAACGGAACTGAGAATTGAGCAAAGGAAAATTTGCAATTTTACGGTGCAGTGAAGATAAAGCTTTTTTTTGTCAAAAACTCATCCATCACTCTGCCACTGTATTCATACCTGGATCCTGGACAGACCGAAGTATTCCCACAGCTACTGGAGCAGGTGTTGGTACTGGTCAAACTCAAACTCGTACTTTGAATGCAGACTGCACACAGTTCATTACATTTTTTCTACTTCAAAGAAGATTTAAATTATCTTCTATAAGTTCCATTCACAATATAACAGGGTAGTGTAATTTTTAAAACGGAAAGTTCTCTAGTGGGCCAACAGACTACCACCACTTCCAGATTTCCCCCATGAGCTCATCCCTGCAAGATCTTCCATCAATTCCCAAAACATTCAGTCTAACCTCCACAGAGAGGCCACAGCTTGTGCTTCCTAATTTTGTTAGCTCTGATCAAACATGAATAGTTGTTAACAGCCAAATAATCCAAAAAATGGATTACTTGGCCTCTGAAACGGAACACATGGGCTGGAACAACTCCATCGCAGCTTCTCATTGTAATCTGATAGAGATGTCACATATCTCTGACAGCATTTTATGTACTGATGTTGTCTTAGTATCATTCTTTCACAGCTAAAATGATGAAGCCATTAGTTGGAAAGCAGCGTGGCTAATCACGGTAAAGCAGCCCTAACTGGGATGAGAAATTAATCCCAGTTGGAAGACGATGGATAGGAAATTTGCAAGCCATTTCTTAATTGGAGCCAAGCTATGTTAAGAAACAAGAATGCACTGTGGCATGCCTTCTCCTGGAAGGATCCCAGGTGGTTAATATTTCACAGTGAGTTGGAGATTATAAAGGAATGCGGGTCTGGTTCAAATGTGTTTGATGTGGCTCATACTGTCATTGGTACCTCTAACCAGGGCCTTTGTCTAAATCGTCAAACTAAGCAAAAAAGATGAGGATGCATAGCTTAATGAATAAAAAAAACATGTGTTTCAGCTAATTAAAGCTATTTTTTGTGATGTAAGTTGGTGAACTATTAAAACAATATTTGTTATTTTTAAATGATCAATCTAAAGCAGCTTTAGATTGCCATTCTAATAAGATGATTTTAATCTTAATTCAGTGTATGCACTAACAGAAGAGCCTTAGCTTCAGTAGCAGGAATTAATTAAACACACTGCATGTAATATGCTTCATCCATGTGTTGGATATAAAAAGCTTCCTTCTCTGTCAAAAAGCTAAACCATTTCACTTTATGTCAAGAGTTATTTTGGCCCTTTGTCTTTTTTATGTCACTAGTGTATCCTGTAGAGGCACATACTAAAACTTTTCTACGAAGTTTTCTAAGTAGATCTTAGCTTTGGTGTTAACAGTTTTCCTACAAGGTTACCCTTAAGAAAAGGGTGTCCTGTTTGTATTCTATGAATGGCATTTATCCCATTTCCTTCCATCTTCCACTCTTTCTCAATTTTTCCAGTACTTTAAGTGAGAAAGCTCAGTACTGTGGTTGTCTGC